CTTAGTGAAAGATCATTAACCTCAAACCAAATAAGAAAATTATCTACATCCAACTGTAATTTTTAGAATTGGACGACCTACCTATTGTTTTATTATATCGAGTCGGGTCAAGTTTCAATTATTTCGAATCGATTCTAGTTCAAAATTCGAGTACTCGACCAGTACTGAGGACTCGGAAAAAAAGTCGTGGTTACCAATCTGTATAAAATGTCATATAATGATAATAAAATATCGAAGCAATAACAATTAATTGTTTTTTATTTAAACCTTCCTGGTATTTCCTATCAGAAATATTTGGCTATTTATAGTTTTTTTAATAAAGTAGTGAATAAACTCGGATACTTGATTCAAGTCGAGTACTCGATCAAAGTCGAATAAATTCAAATACTTGATTTAAGTCAAGTAAAATCGAGTATTCGTATATACTCGTATATTTGTTTAAACATTTTTATGTCTCTTGTAGTTTTAAATAATCTTCATACTTAGGAATTACAGAGTAAAATTTTAAATCATCCGCAAAAAATATTAGAAATGACTAAAATATTATATATCGCAATTAAAAAATATTGGCAATGACTAAAAACAAGGTTTATATCATTAAAAAATAATAGAATCCGTAAAGGAGATAAGTACCCCAAAGTGAATATGAAATATATATTAGGACCTATTTTAACACAACGAATTCTATCATTTTTATAAGTTTTGAATCACGAACAAAAAGAACAGTTCAATATTAGTATTGACAGAATCAAAAACCTTCATAAGTTAACTTAAATTAACTGACCTTAGGTTAGTGTAAATAGAATATATTTGTTTACCTGATTCAACAGTAATTAAAATATTAGAATAGTAATATAAATATGTAACATAACATATAATATTATAATAAAGGTACGGTGGATATGAAACGTTTGAAAAACATTTAGGTAATGTTGTCCTTTGGCTTAATTACGTGTGAAAAACGCTTAGTTTTAGTGTTATTTATTGTGCATAAATCATATTAACGATAAAAGCTCGTTTATCAAAGCCGCGGTTTCGACACATTTCTCAAGGTTGAAAAATTCGCGACTTATGTTTGTTATGCTTGACCTCAGTTGTACGAGGCGATGATATTTAGGTATATTATATTGGGTGGTAAAAAGAAAGGAAAACGTCAATAATAATACAGATGGGTCAGTCAGCAATTAAATTGGCTTGCGATCAGAACTCATTAATATGCCCGAATAAAAATGTTTAGTGAAATTGACGTAATTTATATGCCAAGGTCATTGAACCGGTTTAAAAATAAATTAAATATCAAATACAGTCCAATCACAAACCTATATCGTATTGAAAAATTTACTTTGAAGTTAATTTTATTATTTATATTTTTAATAATTATCTATATACACCACATAATATTCATATATTTATATATTTATTTTTAATTATAAGTTCATACTTTAATTATCTAAGATAAATGTGAGTACCAAGAATACTGTTAAAGTCAAAAGTTATAACTTATATGTATTTTTTTCTTACGCATTACTAAAGAATATTAATATATTTACTTACACATTGTGTATAGGTAAAAAAGATTTTATTTTTCAGCTATAGGTGCTTATAAATTAGAATTAATTTGTTATCATAGACAAAATCGAATTGAAATCATGACTTTTGTTAAACCAAACTTAAATTTTATAAATAAAAAAGTTATTTTCTTTTATTATTTATTTATCATAAAAGTTATACCACAAATATTTTAATATATAATTATATTTGTGTGTCTATGTTTACCGTGCATAAACTTGCAATTTATATTTACATCATGACCAATCCAAATATTTACATTTTGAAATAGTTTTTCATGTAATTCTCAAGGGTTTTATATTATGAAACATATACTCTTAGAATAGTTATAAAATATAGAAATCAAATTTTGTTATTATTCCATTTAAATATCAAAAGAAATAGGTACATAAAAATGTAAATGTATTATTAAAATTGGTATTGAAAAATCAGTATATATTTTATTTATCAAATACATATTAAATAGCATGAAAGTATTCAATTGGATTCAGGTATTTTTTGTAATAGATATTTCATTCGAATTATAAGCCAAAAAAAAATAAACAACCATAGAGCCTATGTTATGAAGTTTGAACAAATATATTTAATAAATATTAGGAGTACCCACAACAATTTTATTATTTTACTTAATACAAAGTAATGTACAAAAATATTGTCAAAATATCGGTAAATATATATATATATATATATATATATGTGCGTGTGTGTTTATATATATTGTTTACCGTTGATTTTAAAATTTTATTTTTATGATCGTGTAAAATAATGGTTATATAATGTCATTAATAATAATAATAATAACAATGATTTTACAAAATAAGTACACGTTCAAAATAATAAATTTCATAGTGACACAAATTCGGTATCATAAGAAAAGCATCAAATAAATTGATCTTGTTTCTATTTTTAGTGTCATGTAAAATTATTATTACATTTGATTAGTATTATTTATAAGATTTATATGAATTTTAGACGTGCAGAGTATTATGTACTAATATCTTGTGTGGTATTCCTCCGTTGCACGGCTTGAATATATTTAAAAATCAGATAATTTCACTTTTGGTTACTTATAAAATATACGTACATTTAAGATGAATGTTGCAGTATACAGAAATTAATAATAAAAAAAAAGTCGCATTATATACCGGTATATATAAAATAATTATTATTTAATATATATATTAAGTATTATTTTGTTGAAATGTCAGAAAGAAAAACGCATTAAAAATGCAATTTAATTAATAAATTTACTGAGAAATCAAGTGTTTGACATTGATAAAAATTTTAGTGTATCTCATAAATATGGTAAAATCAACCTACAAAAAAATTTTGCTTGAAAAATTAAAAATAATAAAGTATAATCATTAAAACATTTTATATAAAAAATTAGTACCCAAAGTGAACACAAGTTCCGAATTTTGTCGAAAAAATACAACAAAAAATATTTTAGATTAAGTATTTAGAATTTACGTGAACACATTTCATTACATTCCAGAAAAACTATACCGAAATTGTCCCAGATTTATCACATCAATAATGGATAAAAAAAAACTGAGGTGAATAAGCAAAAAACAAAAATTAAAAAAAAAAAAATGTTTAAATACCAGTCATCAAAAATAAACATTATGTAGCTTATGAACTTTCAATTTTTCCTTGGTCAGTTGCCAAAAGTCAATCGTATCAAACTACAGTTCACATGTTTGTATAGTTCGACGAAAAATAACGTTTTTAAGCTACCGACCACGCTTCCGCCTTGAGATGAATTATTATTCAAATTCCATGATCAAAATTCGAACAAAAATTTTTAAAAATACGTACGAAATGATTGATAGATTTTAACAAACGTTGTTTATTACGAGTACCTATGTGTTTCGGTGCATTCGTAACGAAACAGTTTTTCTACTTTTTTTTTCACAATGTTTTCTTATTTTTTTCTTTTCTATAAATACGTAAATACTTAATGTTAAGGTAGTATTATGAATTTATTACCAATTCGAATTTGATGGGACAATGGTGTAGAATAAAATATTTATCATTATGTCGCATTTGGACGTATCGCTTTCTCTATTCATACAAATTATTAGAAACATAAGTAAATGTAAATAACTATTTATTAAATTATTCATTATAGATGTTAATCATTACTCACTAAAAATATGTATAGTTTTATTTATTTATTTCAATTAAACATTTTCAAATCTCTTGTGCTATCCGTGTGCTTTTAACGTTAATAATCAATTACAATCAACACATTGACACAGTTCAAAAATAAATGCTATACGAAATGCTTAAATATTGCTCCTAAAAAATACTATGCTGCAGCCCCTAATCAAGTATCAAATACAATTGAAAAAGTTTGATTTTCCAAATATTATATTCACACGATTTGTTATGTGGTTCTAATATATAGAAATAACATATATAACATGTATAACATATATTTTAATAACTTTGTAGAAACGTAGCGAAAATATTTTACCAACCTAAGATTCCTACAATAATGGTTTTATTTATTTTATTCGTGGATTGAATTTATTTTTTAACTCCCTCGAATATAACAAAAAAATAAAAAGAAGTCGGACACTCGTTAAAATGTTTTAAGTATTAAACTACAACTAGCTGCTGATATCGAATTGAACTAATTGGAGTAAAGCTTGGATCGCAATGTAATGATCATAATTGCTTTGGTACCGCGTGTAAAACCGTATAGGTGCCTAGATATGATTAACTTACGAAATATTCGCGATAAACATCAAGACTTTGATATGTAACATGGTAATTTTTATGATACAGCGATCCGATTTCCATTCTGCTTATACTTATTTTATTAGACTTAGGTATAAAATATCTGTACAAGGATAATGTTTAAACATTTTTTAAAAAGTTTGAAAATTTTTTTGACAACCAATTTTTTTTCTTTTATTAACGTTGAAAGTTTCCTTTGAAATATATTCAATAAGTGCCATTGTGTTATTTTGTTTAATAAAATCTAAAAAGCGTTTTGTTTTATTATGATATTATACAGATTTTTTACTGTCAATACTTAAAAGCGATAAAAATGTCAATAAATCACTTATTATATTCTTGTGAACAGAAAATTTGTATACGGTTTTGTTCTTTGAATAGGTCTTTTTTTTTCTTTTTTTTATATTTTCCTGTGATTTTGATCAGATCACAAAGCGTATTATAATATTATATAAGAAATTTATATTATACGGTAAATTACCATGTTGAACATTAGTATAATATTAACTGATACTGACAAATCGTTTTGTATTTAGGATTATTTATTAGATGCATTGATTGTTACGTTAAGTTTCATGTAATGTTAGGAATTAGGTATCATATATTTACTGATATTAAATGTGTACTTCAGTCGAACATTTTTTAATACGTATGAAGTAATAATAAAGTAACATGATTGTTTTTAGGTAACTGAAGCGTCAAGTTGAAATAATCTTCAAGAATAACAGACACGGAAATACATAGATATGATAACAGAATAGAAGAAAAAATCGAAAGTTTACATACATTATTCATGACGAAGATTTTCACAAAATCATCAATATTGAAGGAATCAGATACTATTTTGCGATACGATTGAGAAACAATTAAATGAAATAAAAAAAAAAAATTACTGTAATGGTAGATATTAAATATATTTTAGCAAGCAGTTAAAGACTTCAGTAAATCAAAACACAAAAATAAAAACTGTCATGAATTACTTCACTTTGCCATAGAAGAATAAGCAAAAGAAAAAAAAAGGTAAGAACTTATGTAACTAACTGTATGTGAAATTGACCATTCAAAACATATATGAACGACTTGATAAATTAGTAAAATTATATAAAACTCCATTTGAAATATTTACTATTGGTATGCACATAAATCTATTTCACTAATTTAAACATAACATTAACAAAGAAAAATTTCATGTTTTGTTTTATTTATTATTATAATAGTCCAATGCAATTTATAATTCTACAAGTAAATTTGTTATTAACACATATAGTTAAATAAATTCATCAGATTTTGAGTAAAGCAGAGAAGTGTTTTAACGCTATATTTATCATAAAACATGCAGTTCCATCTTACAGTGTGTGAATCTTATAACCCACAATAAACGTGCACCTATAAAAAGATTGCCATTCTTGTCATAAAATAAAGTTAATTGAAATATAATGTTCGTGCGTTTATTTTTATGCATTATTATTGTTATGCTAATTTATGCTATGTTAAATATCCATACATTTGAAACGACTAATAAAAATAATAATTCATGGTACGAAATTATTCTTAGATGTGTTTGGTGGGTATTAAATATCATAATAATATATCTATGATTTTCATATAATAGATGAATACTTATTAACGACAGTGAACTGCGTAATTACAACGGTGACGAGTATAAAATCATACCAAACTGGTTTGTGTATATCTCATTCGTATACACGCATCATATAAACACACGTCCTATTATTATATTAGAAATTAACCATGCAAAAAAAATTATTTTTCCATTGTATTTTGTATTGGATTTGAATTATATTCATCACACATTTAATATCTATGTGTAGCTCACTGTGAACACTTCGTTTTTTAAAGCACATTCCCCTCGTAAATCATGATCACTGCGGTTAACGTGTTTCTACGATATAGAATATAATGAACTAAAATCATATATATTATTACTCATATTTTTTTATAACCTATATTTTTGTAACAATTAATAATGTTAAAATAAATGATTAATTATACATAAATAAAAACGAAGGTTGACGTTTGCACAACAAATATTATTTATTATATTTGACTTATATGAAACGTGAATTTTTCTTTTTAAATTATTTTTTACAATTTTATTGTATTTACCATCATCATAATCAATAATAACTCAAAAATAGACAGTTTACAAATTATAAAAACACTATACATATTATCTATATTCATTATAAAGAAAAAATCTATTAAATTAAAATTTGTTCTTGCGTCAAAACTTCGTTTTTTTTTTTTTTTATGTTGACATTTTAAAGTATTTGATATTGGAAAAAAGTTTCAAAGAAAAGAACCGGAATTTTGATTATGAGATGGACTTAGAGTGTTACATAGTGATGATAACATCAATTTATTATGATTTTTATTTTTATTCATACTATTAATTGTCATAATTACCATTACTAATTATTAGGAATCTTAAAGATTACAGTATTCGATTTGAAGTAAACATGAATATTTAGCTAAATTAAGAAGTAAATGATTTTTTTTTTTTAAATATCTTGAAAATAACTAATAAAAACTACGTCGATTGTGATTTCATATCTTGTTTGGCAATATTATTAATATATTATTTACTTTTTCTTGAATAAATCGTAAAAAAGACTGATGGCCACTGATATTGATCTGATGAAAACTGAAAATGAATGTTGGCGCAAAGTTTTCTTGGTGCTTAGTATGATTGTTTTTTTGGTGTGCGGAGATTAATTTCATTGGTTTTTTATAATGTCTAGAAGTAAATTAAAGTAAACCAAGTTTCTTATAAATGATGTTTCCAATTCATCACCTAATCTAACCTGATATTTTGAATATCATTTAATGACTACGTACAATTATATAATGCAACTAATTTTATTCAATATGTGTCTTATTATAATTCAATTTTCTCATTTTTCTTCTTCTTATTCTATAACTATCACTGTACAATACAGTCTGTACTATACGCTTCTAAATCAAAAACTTTTTCTACTTCTTATTTTATAATACCCTTTACAAAAAGCTGTTGTTAAGCGTAAAATTCATAAACGTATAAAATTAAAAGAAAAGAAAATTGTTTCTATTATATTATGTTCGTACGCCATAAAAATCCTTTAAACAATTATGAATTTTTCTCATATCAACGATCTTTTTTATCAACGGTATTACTTTTATGGCTCCGTGGTTTAAAATGAAACAAACAACCGACATTTGCGTGGTATATGTCACATAACACATTTCCAATTAAGGAACTTATCGCCAAATCCTACATGTACACAAGACTACGCTATAGTAGGACCGACTCAAACCGAAATATGCTCTAGTCGACAAAAGACATTGGATTCATGTGGGATGGGGATTCGGCCTGAAATTGTGAGTTAGTAGAACAAGCTTAAAACACAACATCATTGTCTTCACGGTTCCACGAAAATAAATCCAAAAAATAAAATTTCATCACATTCGTTATAAGCAGTTTTTTTTCACAAGCTAAAGTATTTTTCGTTTAACTTACCACCTAGCAGTAAACACACAGATAAGAAATAAATAATTTATCATGACAATGTATTGTTGTTAAATAAAATTAATAATAATTATAGTCATATTAATAACATTCACGACGGGGTAACGATGAGTATATGATCTTTACATGGATGAATTGTCGATATAAATTCATAGTACACTGTTGTCCATTTGCATGATAAATATCGAAAATGATAACAATTGATATCAGTGATAATATAATGATGGGTGGTAGGTCGATAACCGCGAAAAACAATCTGTAACATACAAGTATATTTATATTTGTTATTTCGGCCTCACAATGGTTCACGGCTGTCACACAACGATGAGTGTATTTTAATTTTTTTCATTCGTAGGGCCCATATAAAATTTCAGCCCGGAGGTCCAATAGATACTTAATCCGATCTTGGGGACCTTAACAGCCTATGACGATGGTCAACGATCGACAACGATAATATGAATTATACAAACGTAAAAACCTATGTATATTATAATTATTACATCAATATTATAATAATATTGTAATTATTGTAATAATATATGTATATAATGTATGTTACATGATAACGTCGATAATTGACATTAATTTCTATGAATAAATTTAAAAGTAATTTTTACTTTTACAACAATGATAATAGGTTTTTTAAATGTTTAATATTTACAAATTATACACTACGCAGTACACACCATACGTATTATTGATTTGGTTCTGTATAATATAAAAATCTCTATTGATAAATAGAAATAATTTTAATACGAGTTTAGTTAAACTATTAAGTTAATTTAGTTAAAATTACTAGTATATTAGTCACTCCATTATATACCGATCTATAATTTAATCGGTAATTTTTTTTTTAAAAAAAAGACTTACTTAGGTACCTGATTTGAGTTCTACATTACTACCTTAAGATATACTCTCACGAAAAAATATAAACAGTGAGTTACACCTTTCGTGTGGGGTATAACTTTTAACAGTAGCTACCTAAACCAGAGTAACATGTACTGTATACATGTATAAACATTTATTGTTTTAAAATAAAATATAAAGATAAATATATATATATATATATATATATATATATATATATATAAAATAAAAATTAGAAAACGATTTAAACCAGTTCTAACTGGAACCTAAATTTTGAACTTTATGAAATCCTGAAATTAAACCTAAACCCCTAAAAAAATATTTTAAAGATCCGAACCTAAACCAGAACCGTTAAAATGATTAAGGTCTCAGTTCCTGCTTTTCATATAATTCCTGCAAAAGGAACCTCACATCAACAAAACTACTAACTTATGTCAAAAATAGCAAATTATCAATTGTAACATTATAAGTACTCATCGTATATGTGATATAAACGTTTTTGGGGAAAATCAAAGATAAATATTAGAAAAATTATCATAAATTCGTTTTAGATTATGGTTCAGTATTTAAACACATCTTTGACATAGCACTAGTCGTTAATAAGATAAATATTAGATATCAACGACCAGTATAATTTCAAATATGTGTTTAAATACTGAACAATAATCTAAAACGAATCTATGATAATTTTTCTACGTTTCAATAATTTATTTTGGTGTTGGCTATTAAGTGAGTCATTATAATATGACCAATTTGAATTGATCGTTCCGAAGATATTTCATGAATATCTACTTTATATCGGTATCAAAGACTGAGTATCTAAATTTATTACGTTGTTAGAATTTAGTAGAAAATATTTCTAAAGACGTCGAGAAGCCACTAGGCAATACCGAGTTGTGGATATTTGATATTTTATACGTTAGAGTTCGTATGTGTAAGAAGAGGGGAGAGCATTTGAGAGTGAAATGTATAAAATAAAGTGAAAAGTAAACCATACTGTGGTGAATCCAGAGACAATGAAATAAAAACGATTTTTCTAAAACGAAAGAATAAACTGCAGTTTGTAGATAATATGACATCATATCCCGTCAATCAAATCAAAGCTTAAGTGAAATTATTTTTCGAATCGGGAAGAACTCTTTTAAATGTATCCTGTTTTCTTATATATATATGTTGTAATCTTGTTATTACATTTTAAATACTATAAATTGGATCGGTTACCATACTTATATTTTGTTTGCTATATTACGTATATGTGCGTATAATAACAGTTTCGATACATGTGAAATATAAATTCGAATGTGTTTGGTAGTTGAGTTTTCGTTCATGGGTCTATTTCACTAAATAACATATTCACAAATATTAAATAAACATTCAGTAGCGTTTTAAAATCGTTTTAAATAAAAAAAAATATTGAAAAATAATTAAATCAAATTAATGTGTTAATAGTAAATATAACAAAAACTTAATTTTAACCCGAAATTTGAAAACCCATCAACATAAAATCAACTATTATATGTCAATTTTATATGTATCACTTCAATATAACTTAAACGTCAATGCACTACCCTTCAAATGAGTGCTCTTATTATTACAAACTTTGAAAGTTGTTTAATGTACGAAATTG